GTATGAGATTACTGATTTTTTATAAATTAATATCTGTCATACCAATGGGCGAGGAAATATCTACATAAATGAAAGAAATGTGTGTTCCAAAAAATAAAACTTTTCATGCATTTAATATTGAAATACTACCATTTTTATTAAGTAATAGTATACTCTCAATATTATTTTGTTTATCTCGTCTTCAACATTTATAAATATCATATCATGTAAACATATCGTAGAATAAATAGGAATGAATTCTTTATTTAATAAAGTAATTATGGTTATTTCCTGAAACCTAAGAAACAAAACTTTTCTAAAGAGTTTAGTTATTTTGTCCAATATAGTTTGAAGCATCTCAATAGTTTTTCATTGAATGACAAAAAAAAATCCAGAATTACAAAAAGGCAATAATTTATTTTCATATAAAAATATTTTACAGCAAATATTAATTTTATTTTAAGCAGACAAAACATTGTTTAGTTGCACTTGCTTATAAAATATTGGGTGTTATACAGCTCGCAGGTGCAATATAATATAAACATAATGTATATTTTGTTTCAGATTATTAATTAATATTTATATTATTTAATAGAAAATATTATTAAATATACACCAACTTTTTTTAACAATAAGTTCTAAAGATTTGCTATATTTTAAGTCGTATTATTGACTTCTGTTCCGACTGAGTTTGTTTGCACTCAGTTATACATACATACCTTTCATTTTTATTCGACTTGAGATGGTTTGATCGTCTTCCTTATTTTATTTTTCGTCGTCATCAGCCTATCAGACCCCACTGCTGAGCAAAGGCCTCTTTCTTACATGGAGAAGGTTTGAGCATTAATCACCACGCTTGCTTAAGACGGGTTGGTGATTTCAAACTTATGATTGTGAAATTATAAGTCCAGGTTTCCTCGCGATGTTTTCCTTCACCGTCTGTTAGTGGTGTCTAAACACTCTTAAAAAGTACATATGACTCAGAAAAATCACATTGGTACTTGCCAGGATCGAACCCGCGCCCTCGTGCACGAGAGGCGGGCTCTTTAACCACTAGGCCACCACTGATTATTTTTATTTTTTAATATTTAAAAATTGTAAACAAAGAGCAATACTTCCGACTTGAAACTGCTTTTTGATTTCCATACGAACATTTAATAATCGAAGAAAATTTATATTTATTTTTCTTAACCCTTTATTTCATTTTAGTGGTGTAGTAAAGAATATTTTTCCAATATTATTTGTTTATATATTTTCAGCTTAAAACCAAACTTGGAAAGCATGTCGTTTTAACTTTATATTAGCAATATATTTTATGAATATTTTTAGAATTAATAAACTTAAACAAATTAAAGCAAAATAAAAACTAATGACCATAAAAAGATCAACGAAATCGTAAAATTAAAATGATAGTTCTAAGAGCGCATTAAAACACCTTTTAAAAAGTTGTTTTCTATAAAATATTCCCCTCGGGAATCAAATTGCATTTTAAATTGATAATCAATATGCAATTTGAAACCGTTTTTCAACATTCTTTCAACAACAACAAAAATGTGGGAAGTAGTTTTCGGACAATAAGGAGAACGATTTCTGTAAATTGAGTAAAGCGAGTGAAGCGAGCGGAAATCTTTACTGAAGCTCGGGTCATTCTTCCACGGAGATGATCTTGACAACCGAATGTCCGTTCGAGTCGATGTGTTATAATTCTGATAGTAAAACTATAATTTGTGACCAATAAAATTACGAAATTGTCAAAAAATTATTACTTTAATAAATAAATAGGATTTTGTGAGTCGTCATAGTATCGGTAATTCAGCAGCTAAACAGTTATGGTTAAAGAAAGAAACATATCTTTTAACAACAATCTTTTAAGAACATTCTTGCAACATTTTCGTTGACTCCTGCCTGTGGTTTGAATTTTTCGTAATTTCATGAATTGGAACAAATTCCAGGTAGTCAAAATGAAACCTACAGCATATAATGATAATGGTTTTTAATTACAAACTGTCGTGATGAGAGGACCATTGACTTGTTCACTATCCTACATTCTTTTAGCCTGATTAAATAGCTCTAAAATATATAATGCTTTTGAGGAACCACTTACTTTTAATTAGATGATTAAATTTTACCTCGTTTTTGTAATTATTATTAATAATGGTATTATTTTACCATTTTTTCGTTTTCTTATATGCTTAAAGTGCTGCAATCATTATGAATATATTATAGACATCTGCTATGTTTACTACATGAGGCGTGCATTTCCTCATTACGAGTTTTTCCTTTATAATAAATAATAATATAAAAAAAATTATAAATTTATTCATTCTTTATTCAGATCACTTAGTACAGTGGATTTTTAAACTTATGTAAAGAATTAACATTAAAATCTTAAACTTGATGGATATAAATAAATTTAGACTAATATATTTGCTTGGTTATCTTTCCAAGATCTGTTTGAAATTGTTTTGTAAATAAAAACCATCTACTCGATGTTATATGATTTTTAAAGTAACAATATTTCGACTAGCAGACCCTGGCTAAAGCTGGGAAATTGCCAGGAAGAAGAAGAATATTTCGACTAGATAAACATAATAAGTTATATTAAGCTGATGAGGAAATTTCACCTAAGTTCTAATAGATCTATCTGTACTCATATGATATTTTATGATACGATGACGTCACTTCGACTAAAGTTAAAATAAATATATTGAAATAGGTTTGTATTTCTTTGTATTGTATTTAAAAATATCGTCGTAGATTTTGTGAGCTTTGCAAAGGATTTTGTAAACTTCCAATAACACCGACACCTTAAGGACCCCAAAGAAATATAAAATAAAATTATGCTCTAGTGAGAGGAAAATGTCAAAAGTAGTTTAAAATTTAACAGGTTTTTTATCAGGTTTTAAAACTGAATGCTTAAGTTAATATCCTAAAAATGAAACGTGTTTAAAAATAAATTTGTCTAATTTTATTTTAAGATAATATAATTTAGAGTTTAAAAACGTGGTTCAATTTATTACTTCTGATAGACCCTACAATTATGTTGTCGAGATAGGTCAATTTGAGTACATTAGTTATATTGGTTGACATATGATCTAAATGGTAATTTAAATATTAGGTAGATTTTTTAAGCTAAAAATACCTTAAGAAGTTTTTACTTTTGAACTTATAATACCTAAGAATATAACCAGAGTTTTCATAGTTTCTTGGACTGCCAAGAAAGGAAAACATAGAATTTTAGTGAGTATACCGACTTCTCTGACGAGTGATAGCAGTATAAAGCATTCGAATTTTCATGAGAACCAAAAATCAGCATATTAAATAGTATAAGTTTAAATTTATTAATACAAAACTGGGAGTTTTCTTTACATGTAGTTTCATAAGTTCTGTATTTCGTAGTGCTTTAAAATATCCTACAATTTTTTTTGTGTATAATGGTTTTTTCTGCAGCCAATTATTCAATACTCATACATTACGATGTACGAGTATTATACTTAGTAATGTACTTTTTTTAACGTTTTATGGCTCTCTCCAGCTGTCATAGCAGTCACTGAGCAACCTTTTATTGGTATGGAGGACAGAATATTATTCAACAAGTCCTTGCAAATCCAACGGGAGTACCTCCTCTGTTTGGGATAAAATATAAGCATACGTTTTTCCAGGCTAATAACTTTCAAAGTACCACTATTTTATCAGGATTGGTCTGTTCGGTTTAGTGTGTGTGTGTGCGTGTGTGTTTGTGTGTGTGTGTGTGTGTGTGTATATGTGTGTGTTGGAAGGTGTGGCTTATCTGCTTAAACTTTCTCTATAGAAACATCAATAGTGATACTTATTTACCCACTTTGTTCACGTGGAATTTAGAGATTGAAATTTAATTTATAAGACGAGCATTAATGGTAAAATGTAACGTCATTGCGTACGAGTAGCGTTGCCAGACGTCCGGATAAAGCCGGACATAGCTAGGCTTTTTGATTGCGTGTCCGGTCAAAATAAACGGTGTCCGTCTTGTCCGGCTTTTGTTAGGCTTTTTACATTTCGCAAACAAGCGAATAGAATTTAATTTAAAACATTTGACATGTAAGGATTTTTACAACTACATTTTGAAAGAAACTGAACTCTTAAAGCAGGTTTCGACAAACCAAAAAAAATTTTTTATATTGTGTAACTGAAAAAGAAAAAGTTTTTTTATATTTTAACTTAAAGAGAAGTTATTGATTTTTTTTAGTTAAAAAAGTAAAATTTGTGCCTTACTAATTCTTTAAGAAAAAATCAAATATGTTGATAAATGCTTAAGTATCTAGAATTTAATTTTGACTGACGACTGATTAATAATAAAATACCTATCTAAGACCGATTTGGCATTCGATTATGTTTATTCTTTCACTAGAAATTAACAAGATTTATGATAATAATCAAAAAGACTTAATTTTACATTAAAAAAATTGTCGCACCTATTAATACTAAAACAAAATCCTCAATAATATAGGGTGTCCGGCTTTTTTTAACCAAATGTCCGGCCAAACTGGCTGGTCTGTCCGGCTATTAGGTTTGGCGACCTGGTAACGCTACGTACGAGCAATCGAATTATTTGATTAATCATTTGAAAAAAAAACATATTTTTTATGTTATTATTTAAAATATTTAAGTCAGGTTTTTACGTATTATTACGTCCCAAGGAACAGTTCTTTTCTTGCTTATGTGTTTCAAATATTTTTACAGTTCAGATGCATTCATTATATAGCCGTAGGCCGTAGCTATTGCAAATAAAGAAAATAACATGACTTCGAATTATTTATTTCAAATCTTAATTCCAAATAATATAGGCAAAATTTTGTAAACGACAATCAAAATTTAGGATTTAGAATTTAGTAACATTTTTATTTAAATTAATAATTGTTTAGACAATAGTATGTTTATATAAAAAAATATGTATAAGCAAAGTTAATAGGTTTTAATAAATAATGTATGCTTAATAAATATAATGTCTGGATAAATAATATGTCAATAGGCACTTAAAGTTATTAAATCCTTTCTCCACAGTCAACATTGCTTGGCCAGTCACAAATTAGTTTTTCTGCATTAAAAAGTAGTCCTTTAGGACATAGTAATTCAATCGGTTGATAATTAGAGCAAGAATAAAACCGATTACACATTTCATGAGCAACAATTTTTCCATTTGTGTCTTCACTGTCGCAAGTAATCAAAGCGTAAGATAGACTGCAATTGCAAGTATCCTTGTCTTGTTCGGGGTTTATACGGTCTCCACACTTAACATTATTTAAATAATCGCACCATTTTTTATACGGATTATAGAATAAACCTTCAGGACAATTCATTGTCACATTCCTGCCGTGCATACAGATGTAATATTTGTTACAATATTCATGTGCAATAAGTGTTCCATCGGACCCAATCCTAGCGCATATTTCAGGCGCTTCCTCTGGATTACAATTACATGGTCCATCATTATCATCTCCATTATTATCATCTTCGTTTCCGTTATCTGGTTCTTCTGGGTCTGGAATAATTCGGTCGTTACACTGAACGTTGTGTGGGTAATCACAAAACTTCTTGTAAGGATTATACAACAATCCTGCTGGGCAATTCATGGTCACGTTTCTACCATGAGCGCATTGATAGAACTTGTTACAATGTTCATGTGCAATTAACACTCCATCAGATCCAGGTCTGGCGCAAATAGCAGGTGCTTCGTCTGGATTACAATTGCAAGGTCCATTTTCATCATCATCATTTCCGTTATCATCCTCTTCCTCTGGCTTTTCATCTTCGGGGTCTGGAATTATTCGATCACCACAGTTAACGTTGCTGGGATAGTCGCACACTTGTCTGTAGGGATTGTATAACAAACCAGCCGGACAGTTCATGGTAACATTTCTGCCGTTAGTGCACACGTAGAATTTATTACAATGTTTGTGTGCGATAAATTTTCCATGGGATCCTGGTCTAGCGCAAATAATGGGAGCTTCATCTGGAACACAATTACATTCGTCATCGTCACCTCCGTTGTTATCGTCATTTCCATTGTCGTCATCACAGTCTTCATCCTCGTTATCTGGCTTTTCATCTTCGGGGTCATCACAGTCTTCATCTTCGTTATCTGGCTTTTCATCTTCGGGGTCTGGAATTATTCGATCTCCACACTTAACGTTGCTGGGATAGTCGCACACTTGTTTGTAGGGATTGAATAACAAACCAGCCGGACAGTTCATGGTAACGTTCTTGCCGTTGGCGCATTGGTAAAACTTGTCACAGTGTTCATGAGCGATAAGAACCCCATCTGATCCAGGTTTGCCGCAAATGGCGGGTGCTTCATCTGGATCACAGTTGCAAGGTCCATTGTCATCACCTCCGTTGTTATCGTCATCACAGTCTTCATCCTCGTTATCTGGCTTTTCATCTTCGGGGTCATCACAGTCTTCATCTTCGTTATCTGGCTTTTCATCTTCGGGGTCTGGAATTATTCGATCTCCACACTTAACGTTGCTGGGATAGTCGCACACTTGTTTGTAGGGATTGAATAACAAACCAGCCGGACAGTTCATGGTAACGTTCTTGCCGTTGGCGCATTGGTAAAACTTGTCACAGTGTTCATGAGCGATAAGAACCCCATCTGATCCAGGTTTGCCGCAAATGGCGGGTGCTTCATCAGGATCACAGTTGCAAGGTCCATTGTCATCACCTCCGTTGTTATCGTCATCACAGTCTTCATCCTCGTTATCTGGCTTTTCATCTTCGGGGTCATCACAGTCTTCATCTTCGTTATCTGGCTTTTCATCTTCGGGGTCTGGAATTATTCGATCTCCACACTTAACGTTGCTGGGATAGTCGCACACTTGTTTGTAGGGATTGAATAACAAACCAGCCGGACAGTTCATGGTAACGTTCTTGCCGTTGGCGCATTGGTAAAACTTGTCACAGTGTTCATGTGCGATAAGAACCCCATTTGATCCAGGTTTACCGCAAATGGCGGGTGCTTCATCAGGATCACAGTTGCAAGGTCCATTGTCATCACCTCCGTTGTTATCGTCATTTCCGTTGTCGTCATCACAGTCTTCATCTTCGTTATCTGGCTTTTCATCTTCGGGGTCTGGAATTACTCGATCTCCACACTTAACGTTGCTGGGATAGTCGCACCATCCTTTGTGAGGATTGTATAACAAACCTGCCGGGCAGTTCATGGAAACGTTTTTGCCGTTAAAGCATTTGTAGAACTTGTCACAATGTTCATGTGCGACAAGAACCCCCTCAGATCCAGGTTCACCGCAAATGACGGGTGCTTTATCAGGATCACAGTTGCAAGGTCCATTGTCGTCACCTCCGTTGTTATCGTCATCACAGTCATCATCGTCGTTACCTGGGTTTGGATTAACTCGGTCACCACATTCAACGTTGCTGGGATAGTCGCACACTTGTTTGTGAGGATTGTAGAACAAACCAGCCGGGCAATTCATGGGAACATTCTTGCCGTTGGCGCATTTGTAAAACTTGTCACAGTGTTCATGAGCGATAAGAACCCCATCTGATCTAGGTTCACCGCAAATGGCGGGTGCTTTGTCAGGATCACAGTTGCAAGGTTTATCGTCGTCAGCTCCGTTATTATCGTCATTGCCATTATTATTATCTCCGTTATCTGGCTTGTCTTCTTCTGGGTCTGGAATTACTCGATCACCACATTCAACGTTGCTGGGGTAGTCGCACCATCCTTTGTAAGGATTGTATAACAAACCTGAGGGACAGCTCATTGAAACATTCCTGCCGTGAGAGCATTTGTAAAACTTGTTACAATGTTCATGTGCAACTAGAACCCCATCTGATCCAGCTTTACCGCAAATAGCAGGTGCTTCATCTGGAACACAATTACAAGGACCATTGTTGTCCCCTCCGTTATTATCGTCATTATTGTTGTTGTTATCACTATTATCGTTTTCGTCCTCTGGCTTATTTTCATCTGGGCTTGGAATGACTCGATCACCGCACTTAACGTTGCTGGCGTAATCGCACACGCTCTCAACAGGATTATATAACAATCCTGGTGGGCAATTCATGGAAACGTTCTTACCATTAGAGCATTTATAAAACTTATCGCAATGTTCGTGGGCAACAAGTAAACCGTCAGAGCCTTTTTTTGCGCATATAGCACGTGCATCTTTTGGTTTGCATTTACAAGATTTCAATAGGAATTCTTCGGCTTCCTTTTCGCAGTTGACATTTACAGGCCAATCGCAAACATTTTTATTCCCATTAAATAAGAGACCGTCTGGACATATTCGTTCTTCTAGAGAACCGTGTAAACACTGGTAGTATTTATTGCATTCCGGATGTCTATATAGTTTTTCAATTGTGTAGTCTATCGGGCATCCATTTCCATTTAGCTGTATTTCTGCCCCGCCGACTAAAGATATTACGCAGACCAAAAGGGCTGCAACTGAAAAAATGAATAAACATTATTAAGGATGGGTATCTACTGAATCTAATATTATTAATGTATGAATAAGTACTTGAAAAACAAATGATGTTTAAATCAGAAGTGACTGTTTCTTATCTTAAAAAGAAACGAAACAACAAATGATAGAACAATAAAATGTTTTCTGAAGGAAGGAAGACACATTATTTTGTTAGCACGAAAAACATTTTATTCCAGCCAAATTTTAAATGATTAATAATTTTTTTAACTATTTATCTTATTCTATTATACATATTACTCTTAATATTTATAAACTTTTATTTTTATATGGCTGTTTTAAATGGAAAATAAATTGGTTCACTTGTCAACACTACAAGTACATCAACATAGAAAATTTTGTTTTGTTTGTTATAACCACATCGACATAGCAATATAGGATTTAGATTGGGGCACTTTTAATCACTCAATCACTGCAATCTTTGTTGTCCGATGTCGATATATAAATAATCAGATACATATTTAAAAGGAAATGATAATGTTTAGAATCGAATAAGAATAAAATTCTAGAAAATATTTAACAATGGTAAGCTCATGTTCAAGATCCATGTTCCAATTTAAAATGGTCCAATATTTTCTGGTTGGGTCAAAAAAATATTGCGAAGTTGACTTAATTCAATAATAATAGTGTTTATATACCTAATATATGGTATATATCGTGTTTAAAATATTTTTCATCTATTTGTCTTTTTAACTCTATCTCAGGGCTTTGTATCAGTTATTTTGTATTATATAAAAACCGTTTACCCTGGTTTACGTACGCAAATGTCCACTTAGAGATAAACTTTACATTTGTTTTTTTTGTACAACATGCAATTATATAATTCTATTAAGGTCCTATGAAAAGTAAATTTAATATATTTGTGGAACAAATACGATAGTACAGTTATATAAAAGAATATTTTTTTCTATACAATCACCAATTAACACACTATTATCGTAAAACTTTAACAGGAAACGAAAACACTATAAAAAAACTTTTGTTACTCTGATCAAACAATATTAAAATAAAAACTGTTATTGTTTAATACAAAAACTACTAAATTTAGTATTAAAAAAAGGGGGGACAATTGTAAGCTGTACCAACCTTTCATATTTAATTCAATCACTATCCTTTAATTCACGTATTATTGATAACAAAAATATAATGACAACTGTTCGCAATTAAAACGGATCCCGATTATATATGGTATATTATCATTCCGCTCTCTGATTATAATATAGATTCTAAGAAATCATTGCTATGATAAATCACAAACGTTTCGATTAAAAAATGAATTTTGAGAAACTGATTTGTTGATAATTAATATTTATCTTGATTGCAATTTTATTATAAACTTAATATCGATAGAACAAAATTACTTCATACTGGATGAATTAACCTAGGTTTTTGATGCCTTATATGTAATTTTGTATTGTTTCTTCCTGTTTTTCCTCTAATAATTTCATAATTAATTAGTGTAAGTTATAAAGTAAACTCTTCTCATTAAATATGTTGTCTCATTTGGTCATTATATGAAAATCATTATTACGTTTCACTTACAGACAAAATAAACAAAAAGATTAAAAGTACTGGAAATATTAGTGATGCACTTAATATATTCTTAAAATTGTTACATATAGCTTGCATTAAATGAAATAACTTTGTAGTTAGTTTATAAGTCATTAGGTTTTCTTTATGATACAGAAAAATGTTTTTGGTTTTCACAGCGAGGTTTTAGAGTAAGACGGAATTAATGCATTTTTTGGAGGTGGTAGAGCCTAGCTGTAGTCAATTTACTACAGCTCGAACATGGGCTGGCTCGACCGGGGAAGTACCACCCTCTCACAGAAAATCGGCGTAAAGTAGTCTTTAAAGGCTGCGTTTCGTCCGGTGAGTGAGAGAGCCGGTTGCCCTTTCCCTTTTCCCAACCTTTCCTTTCCCTCCCTTTCCCACCTTTTCCTCCTCCTTTTCCCCAATCAAGGGCGGCAACACATCCGTAAATCTACGTTGCGGATGTCCATGGGCGACGGTAACTACCTACCATCAAGTAGGCCGTCTGCTCAGTTGCCCCCTTTTCCCATTAAAAAAAAAAAAATCCTTTAATATTCTGTACAAAGAATAGGTTACGCTCCTAGTAACAGCTTGACCTTGACTTACAAGAAATGTTTCATTATTTTGAAATCTATGAACAATTCTTTTACTATTTTTTTTTAAATAATTGGACAATATTATGTCATTAAAATGTAGGTGTAAAAATCGGATTTTGACACTTAATATATATTTTTTCTAATTGTGTAATGAAAGATTTAATTTCTAGGTAACATACTACTCCATGCACTTCTATTGAAGATTGTAAGAAGATTATAGAGATATGACATTTTCAATTATTTTCGTGAGTACACATATGTATATAAGAGTATGATATGTATATAAGAATTTTTTTTTTTTTTTTTTCTACGAGGGGAATCTTTTAAAGACTTCCTGCCGCGGGGGAAACGCGACAGGGGCATGTGGGATTTCCACCCACTAAACCACCTCGGCGTTCTCTGCGCTGTGCGTAGACTAGTGAGCGGGAACGGCAAGCCATACTTCCGCTCACTACGCACGAGTCCCGAAAGGGACTCCGCCATCGGCAGGGGTATCAGTGGCTGACCACACCACCCCTCCGACTCAAGAGCAGCGTGCCGGGAACGCCAAACACGCCGCTCTTCCTCTAGCCTATGTTACCCGGACGCCGGTTCCCCACCGACGCCCGGAGGCTTCCTCACTGGGGAGGCAGGTCGCGAGCATAAGCCCGCTGCCTTCGACCCAGCCTTCGTCGGCGCAGCGGCGCCGAGGAGGGGTCGTCTTCCCTCACTCGTTCAGCAGCCTCCTTCTGCAAGATGACTCTCTCGCTGAAGTCGGCCACCGCCTGCCATGCCCTCTCGCTGCCGACCATGGCCTGGACCACTGCCGGCAACGAAAGGTCTGCGCCAACCACGTGGATGAGTTGGCTACGCTCGGATATATGTATATAAGAATATGTTTATCCGATTTAACTCATTTTACAATTAAATCTACATTTTTCATAACTTTTCAGCTACCGTGATCATAGCCAGATATTTTAATTAGTTTTATTTGACAATATTACTTTAAGAAAAATTTTCTTTAAAAAAAGAAGAAAAGTTATGTCTAAAAAATTATCTTAAAAATTCCATTTTCAGCGCTACGTTTAATTCCACCTCGCGTATAGGTAGATATACAAATGTACGTAATATTAACAATCCATTTTTGAAAATAATTCCTGTATCAAAAATTACTTTTTTTCTAAAAAAATAATCTTTAACAGTAATTTTGTAATACATGCGGTATGCTATTTAAAGGATTTTTTTTTCATTTTGAATCATTCGATTAAACGATAAAAAGTAAATATATAACATAATTCAATTGGACCACGAAAAAGTACTAGAAAAATCATTAAAGCACTTCTTCAAAAGCAAGGGCAAAATTAAAAAAAAGTTGAAATGAAAAAAGAAATTAATACTGATGAAACTGTACTTTGGGACACCAAAGAGGTTTTGTTGTGTTGGATTTATTTATATATATTCGACTTATATAAAAAGTGTTATGTCTTAGAGTGTTTTAAATTTATTTAATCTACCTTCGACAATAACTCAAAAAAACGTCGTAGGACAGCGTTCAGTGATATGAAAAATATCTTCTCGTCAAATTTACTACAGCAATTTAATTCAAGCATGTTCAAGCAAAATGTCTTGCAGGGAATATTAAATGTTCCGAGACATAGTTAGTTACTGCAATTCTTATTTGTATAACTAAAGGTTAGCAATAGAAAAGGCTATAATAAGAGTTTTATTAATATATTAACAGCTTTAATTCCAGGTTAGCTTCTAAAAATTAAGTATCTGTAGGACCAGTTTCTTAGACACATAATTAGAAGGGTCAACGGTCGAGGGCCCTTTAGCTTTTTAGCTTGGCGTAGATAAACCTCCCTCTATATTGACCAATATAAACTGTAGCGGTTGAATCTTCAAAACTATTAAAATCGAGAGTCGTCATAGATATTGTTGAAGGCATATCCAATAAGATTATTGATTTTTGTTAATAAAATAAAAAAAGCAAATTTCACATGAGGTAGCAGCTCAGACAGATTTCAAGATTAACAAATTATGCTAAAAATATGTTAGTAATAGAGTATAATAGAAAAGAAAAATAAATTATGACTATATCTTGCGACATTGTAATGTAGACAATGAAATTATTTCTATCTTTAACACTGAGTCCATTACACTTCATACTTTACCTTTTCAGACTAAGACGGGATTCTCCTAGTTTATTACAACTAACAAATATAGATTTGTTTTCATTTTTATGGCTTGAAAACTCTTTTTGTACCAATTGAATAAGTAATGAAATAACAAAACTATTTAACTTGTTATATTTTTTATTATTATTGTGATTTATTGATTGCGTAATCTTTTATGACTTTTAACATAATGCCTACATAAATTAGGAAGTTAATATTGACGCCATTTTGGTAGCATAAGCACAATTTTATACTTTTACGTTTAAAAAATGCAAATAGTTATTTTTCTTGTTAATGTATTACTAATATAAGATAACGTTGTTTATCAAGCAGATGTCTAAAAGGATAAGTCATAATTGGATCATAAATTCTTTGTATAGCCACAAACAACGAATTCCGTATTCTAATGGCGGGAATTACGTCTTTTATTTATAAACATGCTATCTCCTATTTATCGAAATAATATTGACATGATTTAAATGGGTCAGTCAGTTATTTTATAAATAATTATAACGTAACATCGTGTGATTCTTTTAATGTGCTACTATATCGCTTCTCATTTATAAGGTTAAAAATTCATTTTAATTAGCTAAGAAAATACGAAAAATGCATGAGGTTTTGACTTGTAAACTTTGCAGATATAAAGTTATCCATATAAAACAAATATTCATAAAATTTAACTAAAAACCAATTACATTAATCAAGCATCTGACACAAAGGTCTTCAAAGAGAATCTTTATTGGATAGTTTACTAATCAGTTGTTAGGTCAGAATTTTGCTTTTTCATGAGCATTTTTTATGTGCATTTCTTTTTCAGATATTTTTTTTATACATTTCTTTGCACAATATTGCACGACGCGATAAAATAAAATTCTTCATAAATTGATTATCTGTGATAGTCATATATCTTTGATATCAATCTCTTAAAAAGTGATAAAGATTCTTAAAACTAATGACGAAAAGCTTTAATTTTTTTTTAATTTTAAGAAAGAATTAATTAATAAGTTGCTTAGTTTACATGTCAAAATTTTCAGAACAAAAACGTTGGAACAAAAAACGTACTGTCGTACTGTTATTTCTTTTACGATAAAATCGTCTTACACATATAATTATTTCTTAAAGCCATTTATGGAGCACAAGTGCCACGGCAGAACTCATATTTGTAAATTATGTGATATTTTAAAGATGAAAAAAAACATATGGAATACAAGAATCAAATAGCTGTATAAATTTTAAATTCGAATTAATAACCAAAAAGAAAATATTTCAGTTTAGTATGGCCCGTACGACAAATGGACAATTTCATATGCAAGGACCTAGTGCATCAGCAAAAGTGATAAAAACCCTCGTATATTCTCTGACACTGAAGTACGTCTGTGACAAAACAGTATTAATACGTAATATATTAAAGATTTCTACAAAGTATAATGTACCAAAAACTTAAATGATTTATATACGTTACTTGTTATTGTTCGTCAAAGCTTACACGATTACAGCTAATGAAAAATAAAGTAAGTTTACTTGCAGTTGGGAAAACATATTATTTTTATTTTAAAACCACGCGTTAACACAGGTATTATAATTTAACATTGAATGTCAAACAATTTACTTAATTTTCTATGATTTGAAAGCTTAAATCGTCAACCACTAGAATCCACTAACTCTTTTATTTTGTACTAAAAGTAAAAAACCTCAACTTATAACAAACTCTTTATCCTGTACTGGTCATTTTAGACTCAGTTGAATAATTCAATAATTACATATGTCTGAACTAAAATAAATGAATAATACAAAGCAATATGTTTAGT